GACCAAAAACCAGTTCAGGGTCAATCTACACTCTACTAAGAGAAAAAAGAACAAGCAAAACATGTATTACCAAAATAAATCACTGAAGGCAAACTGGGTTTTTATGAAGCCTTTGCTTATAAATATAAAGACACATTTGCTAATAAATATAGACACATTTCATGTTTGTATGTGGTCTAAATTAATAATCGATAGATGATACATATTAAATGTGCTCAGAAGTTGCTCTTCATTTATATTTACATAGAAGACTCAAAGGTAAATTGCAGGAAAGAATAATACACCAAAAGTTCCAGGAAGAGCATCAATGTTTTCTTTATCATAGTTAAAGATAATTCAATACTATATTTTTGTTTTAAGCTTCTGGTTTATATACTAACAATTAAAATGTAAATTAATTAGGACTCTCCACTCCCCTCCAATAGCTCCGCCCCTGACCAGAGTAGTATAGTACAATGTAGTCTAGCTTTCATTTGTCTGTGTTCATCTACTCTAATGCAAAGCTCATCCTATTGCAGAAAGACAAATAAGTATTTTTTTTATCTTTGCACTTCTTTTGAATATTAGTTAAGGCTTTATATATTTTTAACAATATTTTATGAATCTCTTCTAACAAAAGGCAAACAACTACTGTTTAGAAAAACTAAAGTATAGTTAGTAGTTAACAATCATCCATTTATGGGGTTCCTACAGTCCTTACAAACTGCCCATTTCTTGTCTATGAATCTGTACCTTTGTAACCAATTACAAAATATGCTAAAGGGAAATACTTGTTTATATAATTTGGGATATTGGCTAACCTGACTACCAGTCTTTTTAAATTGAATTTGTCATACGACTGCAAGACATTCAGTGTGGTTTGCCTCAGTGAAGGCCAATACAGACACTAGAGGACAAGAGAGATACTTTCGGCCTCCCAGGGTTACAAAACTAAATTAGATTCTGCTTTTGCATTTCTGGTTTTAATCTTGCCGGAGATTTTTATGTAATGCATCCTATGGACAGTTTGGTTTCTTAGAATTATGAAGATTGTCCGCTATAGTTGTAGAATCCTACGGTGACTTCCCTCCCCTTGAGTAAAATAACATAATTATGTGTTTTTGCAGAGTCTGCACTGGTCTGGCTATTGCCTTCATTCTATTGGCTGACTATTTATTAATCATAGGAAAACATTATTAGATGGTTCTTGTTTGCTTTGATTCCTTTTTTATTTTATTATTCAGTCGAACTAAAGATGTATCATTTGTAAAAAAAATGTAAAGATAACAAGAAAAAAAAAGCTCAACAGGCTTTAATTTAAAAACTGATATATTGTTTATGGTTTTCTTTGTAATAACTAAAATCACTCAAACCTTACATGATTAGCTTTGGAATTATACTAGTGAAAACAAACTTTTAGTTTTCCATGTTTTACGTCTTTTCTAGTTACATGAGTCACACAGGAGTTGGCGCATAGTTGTATTTCTAGTGTTATTCTGACTGATCAGAGTCACATAAACCGCTGTCCGGATTGAGTCAGTGCTAGATTTCTGTAAACCACTGAGTGAGATATCCAGCATTCCTTTCTTGCCTCGCCGGCCTGTCCAATAAACTTGAAGCAGACGAAGCCAGAAATCTTGGTGTAGTCATGGACTCTGACCTGAATTTTAACAGCCACATTAAGACAATTACAAAGTCAGCCTATTATCACCTTGAGAATATATCCATGGTTAAAGGACTTATGTGTCAACGGGACTTGGAAAAACTTGTCCATGCTTTCATCTTCAGTAGACTTGACTACTGTAACGGGGTCTTTACAGGTCTCCCTAAAAAAATCAATCAGACATCTGCAGCTGATTCAGAACGCTGCTGCTGGAGTCCTCACTAAGACCAAGAGACTGGATCACATCCCTCCAGTTCTGAAGTCCTTACACTGGCTTCCTGTGTCTCAAAGAATTGATTTCAAAGTACTTTTGCTAGTTTATAAATCACTAAACGGTTTCGGGCCAAAATACATTTCCCCCCCCAGACCTCTAAGGTCATCTGGGTCAGGTCTACTTTCTGTTCCTAGGCTCAGAACTAAACAGGGGGAAGCAGCTTTCAGTTTCTACGGTCCTCACATCTGGAATAAACTCCCAGTAACCTGCAGGTCCGCTGCTACTCTCAGTTCTTTTAAATCAATGCTGAAGACCTTTCTTTTTGATGTTGCCTTTCTCTAAATGGCGTTCATTTCTTCACTGTTTAATCTCTTATACTGCACGGTAATTTTTATTGTTGTGTTTTATTCTGTTTTTATTTTTAACTGTGTTTTATTTATTTTTTTAACTGATTTTATGTAAAGCACTTTGAATTGCCCTGTAGCTGAAATGTGCTATACAAATAAAGCTGCCTTGCCTTGCCTTGCCTTGCCTTGTTCTGTTTTCTTACACCTGCTTTCTGATATTCTGGTCCAGGACCGTTTCTTACTATTGGCTCCCCGACCCAAGCCTCAGCCCCCATGATTTGTTTGTCTGGAGTGTGACTAAATTGCTTAACCTGTTTTCTGAATGTGGCCATGGAGACCAAAGACCTGTGAATATCTGTCGCTGTGAAGAAAGCTAGTCTATCTCACCACCACCACCTCCTGCTATAGTCCCAAAGCAAAGGATGCATGTCTCCACTAGAATCCTGAGAAGGTTAATGTTGTTATCCACAAGATTTATTCAGTGTCCCTTTGATAGCTGGAGATAGGCACCAGCATCCCTCACAACCCCAGCAGGGATAAAAGAAAAGGGATGGATGGACCACATTTATGAAGTTTAACATATTTTTCTAATTATTTAAAAAAAAAATGTACAGGAGAGATTTAGCCTCTCAAGTATTTAATGAGAAAGCAGCACAGGTAAATCGGTATAATCTTCAAAGATACAGACTAATAGTAAATATTAAGCTGCAGCTACAGATAAATGCCATCCTGAATAATATTGTGTAATCACCATACTCTAGGTTATGACTTCGACACAGAGGGATGTCTAAAGGATACCCGCTGCTCTTGAAGCTTTTTTAATATTTACTTTGGTTGTCTGTTGTTTTCTTTTACTGATGTTATGTCTCTGATTTCTGTCCATCTTTTCTCATGCAGGTGTGGAAGCAAACTTCTAGGAGTTACTGTATATGACTTTTAGTCACACGACTTCATGTGTCAAAAAGGTCAACAAGCGCAATATTGAATTTTAGGATATTAAAATGTTCTTAAATATAATATTAAAGTTACCTTTTGTAGTAAGACAACAGATGGCAGCATGCAGGGGATAAGGAAGCAGAGATTCAGCACCTCAGTGTGTGGACTATAAATATAGTGTTTTTAAATTATATTTTGTGTTTTTATTTTTTTCAAAGTTTGAACCTTGACATTGAATCTTTGCAAACAAACAATGCTTTTCTCATCTTTTTATTTATTATTGTATTGAATTTCTTTTGTTCTTTGGGGTTGGTTTCTATACAGATCTGAATCTTCTTTTCTTTGTTTGTTTCCTTTTCTGCAAACTTATTTTTTCAAAGCTAATCCAGCGGAAATATTTTATTCCATCTATATTGAGAGAAAGAATAAAAGGGAAATAGAGGATAAAACTGTAATAATAATAAGAGCAAACATGACAAATGAGGATTTTACCCCCTGAGAGCAAATCTGCTTTAAACTGACATATTTGTGCAGTCACACACAGGGAATCCGAAATTTACAAAAAAGTTAATTTATATTAGCACTAATGTGTTTTTCGCTAAGTTACACATTATAAAAACCTAATGAAAACACTGCATTTAAGATTATAATATTACATTACTGATGAAGACATTTGGGCTTAATGAAAAATAATGAAGTTCTAGAGGTTATTCCTTTTTTTTTAAGACAAAAGCATCATTAGATTGCATTTTCTAATATTTACTGAATATAAACATATACAGTATTTACAGACATTAGTTTCATAGTTATGTTTGACTGTGGAAATGGTGAACTAACTTAGACCCTGAAGGTTTGTTTGTACAAAACATCCATAAAATTTTAGATTTTTTTATGTTCACACATTTAATCTGTTTACCTTGTTTAAACTATTTGCTGGTTAAAAAAAAAAACTGCTCCTCCGAGTAAATAAAGTTTATTTCAACCTTAAATGAGCATTTTCTGAAAGGAAATTAAAAGTGATTTCACAATAATGAAACTGTAAACATGAGTTATAGTTTGTGCTGAAGATATATATATATTTTAATTCTTCAAAAGAGTTTTTATGGTTTAAAACCGCTTTAATAAGCCGGTCTGTCATAACATTTGTATGGTTTTACTTATTTAATTTCCTTTATCTTTATTGTTGAAATTGCTTTTATATGAACATTTTCAAAATACTAATTGCCTTATTAAAAAAATGAAATTTGTGTTCAGGAGTTCCAGCAGAGTTGACAATAATTTTAACTCAAACTGTAATAAACATCCTCTGATATGGCCTTAGTTATATATATATAGAAAAACATTTTTTTACGGGAGTGGCAGCCTAGTGTTTAGGGCATATAGCTAAGAATCCTTAGGTTCTGAGTTCGAGCCCCTCTCACACAGCCTCCACTCTGGGTCCCTGAGCAAGACCCTTAACCCCACACTGCTCCTCGGCAGCCCACTGCTCCCCAAGGGGAAGGCTTGAATGCAGAGGCAAATTTGAGATCCAGTAATATTATTATTATTATGTAAACAGGTATAGTTCAAGGTTGCATAGACATACAGTATGTCTGGTAACATGAAGGTCATAAAGGGATATTGTATAATACGGTTAGGGGAAAATCGTAAAAATGAAGGAAGAGATAAATGCAGAGAGAGAAAAAAGAAACAAGCAATGATAAAGTTTGAGGGATAAATGAAAGCAATGTATTCTCCTGCAATCGTTCATCTACGTGATACGGGCTGCTCCTCAGATCTTACCATTCTAATTCTTAACACAAACAACCAGCTGAAAGCGGAAAGCCTCCTTAGTCTGTTTACACAAAGTTTTTTCACTGACCTTGAACCTCTCCTTTCAGGCAATAGTCAGTCCTGAGTCCTCCTCATGCAAATGAATGCCGCAATATCTGTTTGCATTGCTGCCAGGAAAGAAGCTGTCCATCTCATCTGTTCACTTTTTCACCTGCAGGAAGACAAATGAGGACACAGAGGATGAGATACGGCAATACTCGGCCACCTTATTCCTTTTATTTGCAGGGGAAAAAATAAAGAAATTTTTTTAGCCTTGCATTTGTAGATGTGTTTGTTGTAAGAACTGCTTTTGTGCTAATATGGTTCTGTTATTATTCTTAATTAGGAAATGTCTAATATTTTTGCAAATTTAAGCAAAAAAAGTATATTGTTTTTAGTCGTTTTGTTTGTTTTTCCATCTGAGAAAATTTCAACATTTGGGTAGCCCAAATAAACATTTTCTATAGTATATTAAAATCGTGTTGTTCTCAAAGTTGAAAGGTTACTCAGTTAGTATTTATTGAAAGAAAATGGGTATCTGAAAGGGCAACGTTTTAAATACAGTCAGGGGAAATACTAATAGACAAAATCTAGATTATAAAATTTATTACAACTGCACAATGTATCATAAAATATATACCGTAGTCACTGGGTTGTCCATGTAAGCAAAATTCAGATTATCATCCACCATATAATTTAGCAAGATGGACAGTCTTATTTTCCCACCAGACCCAGGTTACTGTGCATTCCCAAAATGCTAAAAAACACAGAATTATGGAATGATAATACCTTTTATAGCCCTGTCTGAACCTCATATTTAAGCTGATGCTACTTAATGCATGCATATTCTTTATTTCACATTTTTTTAAGATACTGAACATCAGAGATGGGAAGTAACGAAGTACAAATACTTTGTTACTGTACTCAAGTAGATTTTTCTGATATTTTTACTTTACTTTACTACTTATTTTTATGGCGACTTTTAACTTCTACTCCTTACATTTTTACACAAATATCTGTACTTTCTACTCCTTACATTTTAAAAATTGTCTCGTTACTTTAGTTTTGAATCATTTCAATTGAGTTACCGTTATTATTTTTCACGTCATCAATACCAAATTCAATCTAATTGGATGGGAATCTACGTTGCATTTGACGCACCGCTACAAGATGAATCGACAGATTCGGCGGTATTCATTGGCGGCAAATCATTGCAGCTTGGTGGCGGTGGCGTTAGCATAGTAGCATGGACGACGAGATGATTGAAAATGAACACAACGGAGATCTAGTCCTATTGGCAGACATCCATTTAAAATGTAGGCAACGGCATGAAAAAAGTGGTTTCTACTTTTACTTTTATACTTTAAGTAAATTTACAAGCCTGTACTTTGTTACTTTTACTTGAGTAAAGAAGTTTAATCAGTACTTCCACTTTTACCAGAGTATTTTTTAACACAAGTATCTGTACTTTTACTCAAGTACGGAAAGTGAGTACTTTTGCCATCTCTGCTGAACATGGTAAAGATAGTTGAAAAAAATTCTCTTTTTGCTGCTGACCAAAGTAAGTGTAAGTAAGAATAAATCTAACATTTTTATTAATTATTCTTCACTGACATGTACTGGAACAATATGAAACTTACTTTAAACCCCTGAATAAGCACAGAACTGTAATTTTTTGTACTGTTACACCCTAAATGTTTAACAAATGGATCAAAAAATTGTAGCAATTTGTTTTGCTTTATATAGTGAATACACAAAGCTATCAGAAGGAAAGAGTGTACGGAAATGTTTTTTTATATCACTTTTATAAAAGCTGGTCAAAATGTAGTTATTTCTCACCTACAAAAGGTTCAAAAGCTGCACATTACTGTAGGTCAATTTGGGAAAATTTCCAGTAGTCTTAAAAAGGACCTTTATTCTGAAAGGATTATATTAAATGTTTCAGGTGTCCTTACTGTTTTAAAAGCCTTTATTTATCTTGTACCACCAGTTAAAGCTTACCCTGGTTTGGGTGCATTAAAATCCCTTTGAACAGTGAACTTGCTGTTACCTCCCTTAGTGGTGCCCCGTCACCCAGACTTGGGTCAACTCAACGTGAAGTCAAACATTTATCACGCTGCCCTTGTAAATAACTTTAGATTTTTTCCTGACAGGTGCTGACAGCTTACATCAGTCATGCAGCAGCCAGACTCAGTTTGGGCTAAGTGCTGTGCCAATTATTGCATGACATTGCCATCCTTAAGCGTTCTCAAGAATATTAATAATTTATGACACATTTCTTTATTTATTTTCATGCTTCTAATGGGCTTTCATTCACTAAAGGTCTTATTGTGAAGTTGCTTTTTATTTATTTGCTCCACTCCTAGGGATGGCAATGCTATTGTAGAAAAGCCTGAATACTGATATCATTAAAAGGGCTTTAAACATTTTTTATATAAATAAAAGCATGGATATGAAATTTTTGAACATAATACTATGACTTATAGTTTGCCTGTATAAGTGTGGTGACCCTTTGGGACATAGAATCCATTTCACCATTGAAGGTGTCTGTGGTGTTTGGCACAAATATGTTAAAAGAAGATATGAAGTCCTGGAAAATGCAAGGCTAGGACCATGTCTACAACAAAAGGGTATTTGGTTGTCGATTTTAAGGCGATTTTAAAACAAAAACTGACTAAATGTGTGCAATGATGGAGATATAATCAGTGATTTTCACTTCATATGTGTTTGGATTGTTCAGCAGGATCAAAATATGCATCCTCCCAGTAAAATACATCTTCAAACTACTGTTGACAATCTACACTTGACATCATATTCTCCATTTTTTTATCTAACACAAGTAAATTGATGTTAATTAAAAAGGAAAGCTCCTGACTGTTACCCTTTCCTTCTGCCTTGAGCTCTCATGCTAAATATGAAAGGTTAACAAGGGGTGGTCCATGTTCCATACGTCACTGATTAACACAAGTCAGGATTTATTTGTGCTGTTATGAATTATGCCAAAATGCTCTGCAAAGTGGATGTTCTGTTTCAGCTTTTTATACAGTTGCCTCACTGCTAGGTCACTTGCTAAAAAGCTTGAATGTTAGGAATTAATGGTTAAAGAATCTTTTTTTTAATACAGGCACTCGGGACCTTGGTATTATTTGTTGAATATGTAAAGTCACCATTATTCTGCATGATTCACCAATATCATTACTTTCCCAGAGTCATTACTTCAGGTCACTATCATCACCTTTTCTGAATAGCAGAAATAGCAAAATAAAGAGAAAACATTTAAACATATGAAAGCGTGCCTAATTTGTGGAGGTTTATGTAACCAAGTGAATAAATAATCGCTATCAGTTTGACACAGCTTATTCCTAAGAGCTTTCAGTTCATGTAAGATTTGTGTTGCCTTTATTCTCTTTCTTACTGTAATATTGTGGTTACTGCATTTGGGGTTTTTGGGGACGCTGCCTCTTTAAGAGCAGCGCCATCTTAGAGCATGCATGCACGTAGACTCTGCATTCTGTCGAGCGGGAGTCTGGAAAGTTAACAGACTGCAGACATACATGGTGGTTAAAACTCAAGGTAAATACTCTAAAATAGTGATGGGCAGATGAGGCCCCATTGGGTGTATGGCACATTTCCCAAACTGTGTCGACACTGTGTTGAAACTGTTTTGCTGTATCACTGAATGGCGACATCTGCTGGATTTAAAAAGTAATTGCAGGCAACTTCAATAAAGACTGGAAACAGACTGAACAAGGTTCTTTCACACATTTTTATTTAGAAACATCAGCTGCGTTAACATCTTTGGATCAAGGCGATTGCGCCGCTTACAAACCATTTCTCCTGCTTTTGAGAACACCCTTTCACAGGGCACTGATGATGACGGCGTACATAAAAATGTCATTGCAAGTTTGTACAACGTAGGATAATTTAGTCTTTGCGATTTCCAGTATTGTAGTGGATCCTGTGATCTTGGTGTGTTCTCTTCGGAGATGTATCTTTGTACCTCGATAATGGCATCGGTGGTGACATTTGAATTGGCCTTGCTCTCCTTGACTTCTATGTCCAGCTGGTGCCACAGGTTGTCATCTGAGGAAATAATAAAATGCATCTGTGTTACTAATTCATAGTATTCACATGGAATGATTTGCATGAACATTAAAATACAAATGAACAAAATTAAGAATCATACATACCTGGATTGGAATCAGATGGTTGAGTTGAAGGTCCAGCTTGGGCATCTTCCATTTGTGTTGGTATAGCGTTTCTCATTACTGCTGCACACTCTGATTTTAGTCTTTTCACTGCATCATTGGCTTTTGACGCACTTAAGAATGCCATGGTCTTGAACCGAGGGTCCAGCAGTGTTGGCATTGTCATTACACTCAATGACTCCAGGTTGCACAGAGTTTCTAGCAGTCTTCTTTTTAGGTTTTCCACAAGATTAATTGCGGTTTCCGTGGTTACATTTAATGCATTGCGTTGCAGTGAGAGGTGCAACATTTTGAGCATTGGGATTACCTTTGATCCAGACACTCTTTTTTCCTCAGACAGCTCCACTGTCGCTTGATTAAATGGAGCAAGCACATGGAGTGTCTCCTCTATGATTTTATAATCATTTGTAGTGAGCTGAGGTATATCACTTTTTAAAGAAGCTAGTGATACCAACACCGACTCCTTCTGTTCCGCCATGCGTTCCAGCATTAAATATGTGCTGTTCCATCTAGTTGACACCTCATTGATTAATTTCTTCACTGGTCCTCCCATCTGTAGCTGGACTTGTGCCAGCTTCTCTTTGGCTGTAGTACTGGTTCTAAAGTATGTTACAATGTGCTTTGTTTTATTTCGGATTTCAGTGAGCGTCTCAATTTGGTCACATGATTTTCGAACTGTTAAATTCAAAGAATGCGCTATGCAAATCGTGTGCCTGATTTGGAGCTTTTTGACACATGCAACCATGTTTGCAGCCGCATCTGTGACAAGACATGTAACTTTCTCTGCTATGGCCCACTCCTGCATTAAGTTTTTCTTTACTTGGGCCATATTTTCAGCAGTGTGCTGCTGAGGGAAGTGTTCCACTCCCAACATTGATGTACACAGTGTATGGTTCTCACTGTTGACATAGTGACAGGTCACAGCCAGGTAAGCCTCCATGTTCATGGATGTCCACATGTCAGCTGTTAGGCTGACTGCAGCTGCACTCTTCAGTTCTTTTTTAATTTGCTCCTTTTTCTCCTCATACCTCTGGCTAATCATGGTCTTGATAGCCTAAAATTATTAACACAAGTGGAGTAGCTTAATGATTGATATCAAATAACATGCATATACTTTGTTAACATGTATAACAGTTAGTTTCACGTACCTTTCTGCATGGCAGAACATATGAGGGCTCAAGGAGTTGGACCAGCTCTCGGAACCCCTTGTCTTCCACAAGGCTAAGCGGCTGACAGTCTGTAATGATCATGTTCATTACAGCCTCATCAATCGCCTGCTTTCTGGAAGCACCAGGGCTAATCACGGGAGTATTAACTCGTTCTTCCATCTCATGCTGGGCACGGTAATGCCTCAGCATTGTGGAAGTGCTCCGGTTAGAGTAAGACAGCACCTGGGAGCAAATCCTACATTTCACCTACAATAGAAATAAAAGTTAATCCATGTAAACTAATTAAAATATTCTTCAGAAAGAAATTAGAATAACCAAGAGAAGAATGATCAATGGTGGAAACAAGAAAGGAATAATAATTTACCTTATTCTCAGTGATAAGATCAAAATGATCCCACACGGGTGAAAACTTCCTCTTCCTTGATTGATCCATAGTTTTAGATGACAAGCCAAAAACCAATGTAAAGCAAACAACACAAACTATCTCCATCCAACAAAACCCACAAATGTGTCGATACATTTTCTGTTTATAAATACAATTTGGCGCGTTCACAATCAAGCGACACAGGAACTGTATCGGTCACGTGGTTTTCCTTAAAGAGATACGCGCACCGACACGGGGCTTCACCTTGTTTGCTCGGCGCATGCGCCGAGGTTTCAGTGTCGTCAGACCCATCACTACTCTAAAATACATCCAATCTGCTGTACCTGTGTGTCACAAAGTGTTTAGTAGTCTAGCAAGCCAAGTTTAATGCGTGATGGCTTTGTATTCGTGATGATTTCTGTAGATTGCTGAAACGTGCAACGCCTGTCTGTTTAAAAGAGCCGACCACGCTGCGAGCGGAAGGCGCGGGTTGGCGTAAGTTGTGACTGTTCTGACGGAATTCAAAGTTTGTTTAATATTTGTTTTTCATATATTTTGTACAACTTTCTTTGTTTCTGGGTGACCCAGAGGGGAGAGAATTTGCGGTGTCACAACTTGTGAGGGTGTGTGTTGGTGAGCAGGCCGCCCTCTGGAAAAGTGAGTTAATTATTTCTTCACGTTACTTGAAGTTCTAAAAATATTTACAAATCATTTAATTCATGAATGTATGTTTATTAGGAAGCAAATGCACTTTAATGAGACAAATTTGTGACTGTGATATTACCTGTAGCCATGTATTTACTTGAATTTTGCTCTGTTTTCTGTCTGTTTAGGACAGGTCACTACTGTTGTCTATACTAGCAACGTTTGCATTTTTTTTACTGTCCTGTATAGTGTGCAAGTGCACCTGTCTCTTACTAATATTGAGATCCTTATTTTGTATTTTTATTGTTCATTCCAACTGTTAAAATTCACAACAAAACAAATTAATACTGTGTTCTACTGGGCACAGTCGGGAAATAAAACAAACCCACAAAGAGAGTTTTCTGTGTCCTGTCTTTCCATCACGACTGGGTCACATTTTGGTGTCAGAAGTGGGATTTCCCGTTTAGTTTTGAGTTTTAAGTTTTATAGAGAGACAGTGAGCAGAGCTTTATAGACAACAGTAGTGGCTGGGAAGATTCCAGTCCTGGTCCGGGAAGGAGACGACTGCGGTGCGAGGGTCCTGAGGTGGTCGTGTGCTGTGGCGGCTAGTGCAACAGGACGAGGAGAAAGTCTACATCGGCGGTCCAAGGAAGAGAGAAAGCAGGACAGAGACATTTGAACTGTTGCATCTCAACACAAAGTGACTGCGTGATCCCGCGGTAGAAAGAACTCAGAGACATGTCGCAAGAGGACGAGGGAGCAGGCCCTTCAGGGGCTGGACGAGGCTCAGATGAAGACAGCCAAGCTGCCCCTTCGCTTGACAGTGGAGGTAACCCTTTTGTGCAGCTGCAAACACAGATTCTCGAACTAAGTAGAAAACATGATGCTGCTATGTCAAGTATTTCTAATATGTGTAATGTTCAAACCAGATCTGTTGTTTACATCCCAAGAGAAAAGGCAATTGTACCTTTCTGTGGAGAAGCGGGAAAAGATGCTTACACTGTTGATGAGTTTATAGATGAGGTGGGAAGAGCAATGAGAACTAGGGGTTTGCATGGGGAGGATCAAACTGATTTCATTCTCTCACAGCTAAAGGGCTCTGCCTTAGAGGAAGTTAAGTTGCGTATGGGTGGGCAAGCGAGACAACCCCGTGATCTCTTTTCATACTTGAGGGAGGCATTTAGGGAGAAACGCACCACTCCACAGCTCTTACATGCTTTCTACGCCCGTCGGCAACTAGATGGGGAAGACCTGCGGGATTATTCACATGCCCTGTCTCAGCTGCTAAACTCTGCACTACAGCAGTCTCCTGGTGTAGTACCCGACACGCAGCTGACACTCCGCGATCAGTTCATTGAAGGCGTGCGTGACTCCACTCTTCGGCGCGAACTACGCAGACTTATTAGAGAGAAACCTGATTGTAATCTCTTTGATAATAGAGAAGAGGCATTAATGTGGACTATGGAGGACCGTCCACGCAGTGCTAATGTGGCTAGAAATAGAAATATAGTAGGTAACAGACCAAATGACAACTTAGAAAAGACCGACTCCACAATAAATTCACAGACAGATCTGGCTTTTACTCTACAAGAGGTGGTTAAAATAATCGCACAACAAGGCAAAGCAATAGGAGAATTAACCAATGCAGTTCGAGAGCTCACTACACAGGCTGCCAGTTCTGAAGACAGTAGGAGTGCTAGGACTAAACCTAAACCCAAATACACCAGAGACGGTCAGCCGATTTGTCTGCGATGTGAGGGGGTGGGACATATGGCCAGATACTGCAACACACAACGTAAGCCTACCAATCAGTCTCCAGGCATGCCTGGTTCTGCGGTACAGGAAAACGGGAGCCCTCCATTGCTCTGAGCCTGGCAATGCGAGGCAAGTCAGAAGGCTCGAAAGAAACTCTGACCAAAGAACACTTTCTGGAGCATGCTGTAGGACAGTGCCCTGAGGTGGATATCCAGATCGGAGGTGTTCCCCTCAGATGCTTGCTTGACACGGGAAGTAATGTAAGCACTTTGACCGAAAGTTTCTTTAGGAATCATCTACATGGAGAAGATGAAGATATGCACTGTACTGCCAAGTGGCTAAAAATAACAGCAGCCAACAAGTTGCCACTGCCCTACTTGGGTTACGTAGAACTAGACGTACAGGTGATGGGACTTACTGTTCCAGAGTGTGGTTTCCTAATAATTAGAGATGATGGAACAAAAAAGGTCAACGCCAGAGAGACAGATTCATCCCTGCCTGGCATAATAGGGATGAACATTGCAAAGCGGTGTAGACAGTTAGTTCTCTCCGAGTTTGACACCGCTCTAGGTGGGGAACTGGATTCCAACTGGAGGGAGGCCTGCCACCGTGTACAGGAAGCTGAGCTGGTGGAAAAGATATCTGTCGCCCGTGTCGCCAGTAAAAACAAAGTGCGAGTTCCCGCCTCATCAGGTACCACTGTCTATGTTAGGGGTCACAGTAAACAGTTTGAGAGCATGTTGTTCGAACAAGGAAACGTTCCACTGCCAGGTGGGTTAGTTGTGATCCCAACCTTAGTATCAACTAACAGCCTATTGTTTCCAGTCCAGGTAATCAACCTTTCCCAGGAGGATTTATGGCTGCCACCTAAGGCTAGAATAGGAACCCTCAGTCAGGGCCAGTGCATGGATGGTGACCCATATGAAGTGAAGTTTGAGCGCATTTCTGCTGACCATGAGGAGGTGAGCATCAATCAGAAGGATTGTCAGGAAACAGACAGTGACATACAGGACTTGCTCAGCCGATTACACATTGGAGGTACACCAGAAGAACAGGCAGAAGTAAAGGTTCTCCTGGGAAACTATGCAGATGTCTTTGCACTTCGCGACGAAGATTTGGGGTACACAGATCGTGTGAAACATGAAATCCCGGTTTCAGATGAGACACCCGTTTCTCAGCCATACAGGCGCATTCCACCTAATCAATACAAAGAGGTCAGGGAACACATTTCTGAGCTGCTGCGAAAAAGGAGTAATTCAAGAGAGCTCAAGCTCTTATGCTTCACCAGTCGTTTTGGTTCGAAAGTCAGATGGAAGCCTTAGACTCTGTGTGGACTACCGCAGGCTAAATGCAAAGACCAGACGCGATGCATTCCCACTTCCCCGCATTGAGGAAAGCCTGGATGCTCTGAGTGGTGCAGAGTTCTTCTCAAGCATTGATCTTGCAAGTGGCTACCACCAGGTGGCAGTGCATGAGAAAGACAGAGACAAGACAGCATTTACCACACCATTTGGCTTGTATGAGTATTTGAGAATGCCTTTCGGGTTATGCAACGCCCCGGCAACGTTTCAACGTCTCATGCAGGCCACGATGAGTGACTTGGTCTTCCAAATGGTGTTGATCTATTTGGATGATCTGCTCGTGTTCTCAGCAACATTCCAAGATCATCTGGTGAGACTAGAGACTGTCCTGAAAAGACTAAGGGAGACTGGGCTTAAGGTAAAAGTTGAGAAATGCCACTTCCTCCAGCCTAAAGTCAGGTTTCTGGGTCATGAAGTCTCAGCCCAGGGCATTAGTGCGGATCCTGACAAAATAAGTGCGGTGACTAAGTGGCCCATCCCTAGTACTGTGAAAGAGCTGAGGTCCTTTTTAGGATTTTGTAGTTACTACAGGAGATTTATTGAGGGTTTCTCCCAAATAGCAGGGCCACTTCATGATGTTGTGAATGTATGTATTAAAGAGAGCAGTCAGTACAGGGCTAAACAGCTTTTTATTTCGGCCTGGACACCACAGTGTTTACAAGCTTTCGAGCTACTCAAGGAAAAGTTAACCAGTACCCCCACGCTAGGCTACGCTGACTTTAGCCTTCCCTTCACACTTGAGACAGATGCTGGCAGTCTAGGATTAGGTGCTGTCCTTTATCAGATACAAGGAGGGAAAAGGAAAGTTATAGCTTATGCCAGTAGGAGACTCAGAGGGGCTGAAAAGAACGATCAGAACTACAGCAGCATGAAGCTTGAACTGTTAGCATTAAAGTGGGCAGTTACAGAAAAGTTTAGGAGCTATCTTCTGGGTTCTAAGTTCACAATCATAACAGATAACAACCCCCTCTGCCACCTGTCCACAGCTAATCTAGGAGCCATTCAGCAGAGATGGGTTGCACAGCTGTCTGTATTCGACTTTGAAATCAAGTATCGCCCTGGTCGTTGCAATACTGCCGCTGATGCCCTTTCCAGGCAGCCATCAGGTGATGAGCCAGAACCCGACAGCGAGGATGCAGAATATGATGGCTGCATAGCCATATGTAACATGTTCAGGGCAGGTACTGATTTAGACCTAGATTTAGTTGCAGCTGGAGTCAAAGCTTGTGAAGTCAGGCTGCTGCATGTATCAGAAGCAAATGAGGAAGCGGTTGGTGAGACTGTGCAGGACAGCACCCCAACCATGCCTGGTTATTCTAACGCAGAGCTTCAGCACTTCCAGGCATCAGATCAGACACTAAGTGTCTTCGGAGATTTCTGGCGGAGACAGAAGAAACCTGGTTACCCACAGAAAATGGGTCTACCTAAACCTGTGCGGTCCCTGTTGAAACAGTGGGCCCGTATTAGAGAAAAGGATGGACTTCTGTACCGTGTGATTGGGGATGCTCATCTTGGGCTGTGTTATCAGCTGCTATTACCAGCTTGTCTCAAAGAACAAGTGCTCAAAAGTGTGCATGATCAAATGGGGCACCAGGGAATTGAGCGGACAATGAGTTTATTGAGGCAGAGATGTTGCTGGGGAGGAATGTATGAAGATGTGGAGCAATGGGTGAAGAAATGTCAGAGGTGCGTGTTAACAAAAATGCCACACCCCCGAGTTCAGGCACCCCAAACTCCCTTCTTGGCTACTCGCCCACTGGAAGTTGTCGCTGTTGACTACACCACACTTGAACGTGCCACAGATGGACGTGAAAACGCTCTTGTAATAACTGATGTGTTCACAAAGTTCAGTCAGGTTTTTGCCACACGAGATCAAAAGGCAGATACTACAGCCAAAATCATACTGAAAGAGTGGTTCATGAAATATGGGGTACCAGAACGTCTGCACTCAGACCAGGGCAGAAATTTTGAAAGTGCAGTGATTGCTGAGCTATGCAAACTGTATGGGGTGAAAAAGACCCGGACAACACCGCACCACCCTCAGGGTAATCCTCAATGTGAGAGATTCAACAGGACGTTACACAACCTTCTCCGTACGCTTCCCCCTGAAAAGAAGCGGCGTTGGCCCGAACATCTGTCAGAGCTGGTGTATGCTTACAATGTTACACCACATTCAACCACAGGGTATTCACCCTATTACTTACTGTTTGGTGTCCACCCACACTTGCCAGTTGATGCATTGTTAGGCCAGGAGCCAGTGAAGGATGACAAACTGGACTGGTTAGCGGTGCACCAGGAGCGTCTCCAGGACGCACATGCCAGGGCCAGAGAATATGCGGAACGAAAGGCTGCAGAGAGAGTCATTCAGCAACAAGGAAAAGTGTTTTGCCCACCGGTTGATATTGGACAGTTAGTGTACCTCCGCTACCGACCACCAGGAAGAAATAAAATTCAAGATGCCTGGGCATCAACCGTGTACAAAGTGGTTGATATCCAGGGGACAACATACACCGTAGCTCCTCTGGAAGGAGGGTCATTGAGAAGGGTGCACAGATCAAACTTAAGGCCGTGTGTGGGGCCCACACCAGTACGGAAGCCAAGGCAACATGACCAAGAGGTCGTCACTGCGGATGAACATGAAGAGCCAGGGACTGACGTTGAACATCCAGAATTCATCTTGATGGAAGAGGTTCAGTACCCAGTAAAACATCCAGTGAATGATGAACCTGAAAACCTGGATGTGATGGTTAGAGGGCCAGGAGATGACTTGGACAACAGAGCTGAACACCTGGAGTGTGAGGATCTGGTAAGGCTGGAGGAAAATGGGGATTTTATTGAGGAGGACCGAGAGGAAGAACCAAACATTTGCCACTCACCTGCATCAGAAAACATCAGCTTGCCTTATGAAACCTCACAGGCAAGGCCTGCTCCAATTCCAAGAAAAAGGGAAACTGGGAGAGCTAAAGCAGGCCAGCCCACACCTGCACCACGTAGGAGTAGGAGAGAAATGGCAGGGGTACACTCGAACCCATTTAACCTACCCAGGTCAGCATGTAACGCAGTGTCCTTCAGCCCAGATGTACTCTCCCATCTGCTAGCTGGTATGGTTCTCTACACCAACAAATTTAGGGGACAAATGGTTGATCAGGAAGTCATCGAGGACGATGACTTGTAGCAGGGGAGAATGTAACCAAGTGAATAAATAATCACTATCAGTGTGACACAGCTTATTCCTAAGAGCTTTCAGTTCATGTAAGATTTGTGTTGCCTTTATTCTCTTTCTTACTGTAATATTGTGGTTACTGCATTTGGGGTTTTTGGGGACGCTGCCTCTTTAAGAGCAGCGCCATCTTAGAGCATGCATGCACGTAGACTCTGCATTCTGTCGAGCGGGAGTCTGGAAAGTTAACAGACTGCAGACATACATGGTGGTTAAAACTCAAGGTAAATACTCTAAAATACATCCAATCTGCTATACCTGTGTGTCACAAAGTGTTTAGTAGTCTAGCAAGCCAAGTTTAATGCGTGATGGCTTTATATTCGTGATGATTTCTGTAGATTGCTGAAACGTGCAACGCCTGTCTGTTTAAAAGAGCCGACCACGCTGCGAGCGGAAGGCGCGGGTTGGCGTAAGTTGTGACTGTTCTGACGGAATTCAAAGTTTGTTTAATATTTGTTTTTCATATATTTTGTACAACTTTCTTTGTTTCTGGGTGACCCAGAGGGGAGAGAATTTGCGGTGTCACAACTTGTGAGGGTGTGTGTTGGTGAGCAGGCCGCCCTCTGGAAAAGTGAGTTAATTATTTCTTCACGTTACTTGAAGTTCTAAAAATATTTACAAATCATTTAATTCATGAATGTATGTTTATTAGGAAGCAAATGCACTTTAATGAGACAAATTTGTGACTGTGATATTACCTGTAGCCATGTATTTACTTGAATTTTGCTCTGTTTTCTGTCTGTTTAGGACAGGTCACTACTGTTGTCTATACTAGCAACGTTTGCATTTTTTTACTGTCCTGTATAGTGTGCAAGTGCACCTGTCTCTTACTAATATTGAGATCCTTATTTTGTATTTTTATTGTTCATTCCGACTGTTAAAATTCACAACAAAACAAATTAATACTGTGTTCTACTGGGCACAGTCGGGAAATAAAACAAACCCACAAAGAGAGTTTTCTGTGTCCTGTCTTTCCATCACGACTGGGTCACATTTACATGCAGGGAAACACAACTTGCATGTCTTAATGCTTTTGCACTGGAAAAAATCTAAATCAAGATAAATTATTTTTCTAAAAATAAGTGAATTTGTTCTTGAATTGAGAAGGTAAAAGAGACATTTTGCAAATGGAACAAGACAATTACACAAATACATTGTCTTATTTTAAATGCATTTTATCTGCATATCTTATTTTAGGAGTAAAAATACTAATTCCATTGGCAAATCATCTCATCCGCGTACACAAATTAAGGGTAAATGGACTTAAATGAAGACATTTTTACGTGTTTCTAGATCTTTTTTCCAGTGTGGGACTTAAAATTTGCTTAGATTTCTATTGGAGTCCATTGCTGATATGTTTTAGATTTTGAACTCAAGTGCATGTTCCTCCAATGTCTTGAGAATTAATTGAATTACCTTTCCGTGTTTGCGTGAGGAGATTGTTCTGCAGCAAAAAGAAAGTTGGTTTCAGAAACTGACAAATCGAAACCAGCCCATAGTAACAAAAAGTATTTACAGCTTTCTCCCAACATATGAAGTTTGTTGAAAGAAAGTTTGAAAATCATTATTGCCGGTTTCGTTTCAGTGTCAGACAGTTTTTTCTTCTTTTTTTTTCCCACTCTATGGTCATAGCATATTTCAAAGTCTCTGCAGACCAAATATATAAGCACATAGGTGTGTGGTTAAAACATTTATAGTAGCACCCAGGCAAGCTAGGCTTCATCACTGAGCAGATTTAACTTGCTGTTAAGCTCCTTACAGCACCTGTCGGTCCCCTTTTCAGCCTGACAAATGTAAGAACATAAAATGAATTTACGTTTACAACAATTTAGTTCATTTACAGCAGATGGGACACTCAGGGGGAAACATTCTGTACCATATAGGGAGCTGTAGCAGCCACCCACTTAAGGCGAAGTCCATATAGTCATAAAATATTAAACATGAAGTAATAAAGATTTTATATTAGGGTCTCAAAAGACTTTGTATTCTTCCAGTCTCATGAAAATAAAAAATCCAAGCCAGTCTAACGGGCCACACTTTGACTGTGATATACGGACACAAAAGCCCTCAGGTGTAAAAGGCTAATCTCAGTCTCACTTCTCACAATCTACTGACGTCAAAGTACTCCTCTGAGTAGATTGTAAACACTTACTGAACCTACATGAAACATTTATGAATAGCTGAAGCTTTTGAAAAACGTGATAAAATTCAGACAACTTGTCCCTGACCGTCTGAGCACAGCGGCTACAGCAGCTTATGGTTTTAGCGTGTCGCCGGACGCTCGTGATCAAAGTTCCGCTGCCAAGCAGAGGTTTTAATGCCCCCCTATCAGGCCTCTCATGCACATGGATGATAACTCATGCAGCGTTTAATGTGATTTTCATGTTCTGCTTGTCAGCATTACCTGACAAATAGCCTGCGGACTTATTTAGAGGTTCTAAGACATCTGTGGAAACAGAGTATATTTCAGGCCTGCAAGTATGTCCACGACTTCAAGTAGAGAAAGGCTTCTACTATTTTATTTTATTTAAGATTCCTCTAAATCGTTTATATTCCTTAATTTTATATTATTGGATCAAACCTCTGACACTGTAATATATTGATCTTTCACTCATAAGCTAAATCTAAAGAGTGATTATGTTACAGAAGTTGAGCACAGGTTGTTTACAGACATCTTATCTGACCAACTATTGCAGCAAAGGGACGTAAAACAAGCTCCCACAGACAACTCTTAACCTTCCAGTGTTCCAGCGTGCAAATTGATGGTGAACGTGGGAAAAACAGCAAGAGAGTAATGAAGAGAAAGAAGCTCCTCTTGGTAAATCAAAAGCAGAGGTCGAAGAAACGATTCCCCTCCACAGAAGAGCCGATTCACAAACAATGCTGTCATTTTGTCAGAGATTGCTCTATTCTTTCTGTTTGTGTCCTAATCATCCGCTAAAGCAGTGATTAAAAAATACACAAGTATACTTCCCACTCAGTGCCACTATTACATATACTAGATAATCACTAAGTAAAAACAAGACATAAATATACGTATGCGGTGAATAGGCAGCTCTATGGTTAAATAACTGTTACGACAGCAAGAAGAACAATAATGCAACAACAAATTAACTAATTAGTGTGTTTGTTATCTTCTGTTAAAGTATTAATTATTTTCTTCCTCCTGTGATAACACGCTGAAACATTTTGAAGATATTTAAGAGTTCAGACAAAAAATAAGCATCGACTTCTTATTCTAAATCAAGCTTAGATTGCTGAACTGTTTCTGGTTTAATCATAGCTAGGGCAGCATTTCATTACAAAAGCATGAAATATGATCCATTCAGATATTTCTCCAACTCCTCCCTTTCCGAGGTACCAGAAAATGTTGCGAGCTTCAGCATCTTGATCACTGTGTTAGGAGGAGGAGAGCACAAGGCAGAGAAAGTCCGTCCAGCTTGTGTCACATAATGCTGGTATGCAGAGCGTGAACATATGGCTCTTAAAATATAACGGCCTAACAATTACTGCAGCTACAAAGTCTGTCTGTTGGTGATACTGTAGACAATGAGATAAAGTGCACTGTGTATAGATAGATAGATAGATAGATAGATAGATAGATAGATAGATAGATAGATAGATAGATAGATAGATAGATAGATAGATAGATAGATAGATAGATAGATAGATAGATAGATAGATAGATAGATAGATAGATAGATAGATAGATAGATAGATAGATAGATAGATAGATAGATGGGTTTGGGGTTTTTCTTTTATTAAACAGCAACTATTTTGTCCCCACATGTTTTTATTAAATAAGAGACAGATGAACCTTCCCTCTGTTCAATCGAATTTTCTCCTAATTAGAGTGTATTATAGATAAATATAATAATTATAATGAAATAGACTGGATACATCTGTCTCTATAAATAGAACCCGTGTTCATTTATGTGTAACCCAACCAGTAATTTTCTTCAAAATCCAGAATGATACAGATATTATTATTGGATCTATTCATCTCTACTTCAATACTTTCAAACTCTGACTGCCTGATTTGCCATTTTTGAAGCAGTTGAAAAAATGCATCTATTAAAAAAAAAATCATAATAAAACTTTTTCATTGTACATAAAATAAAATAAAATGTGGACACTTTTTGGACAGTTTCTTATTTTTTTAGTTTATTAAACTAGCAATAGGTCTCTAAATGTGAATAAATTGCATAATATCTGAACTTTTTGTATTAAATTATATTTCTAAAGTGCAGTGTTCTATACCTTGGATTTTCCCCACATTACTGGAAAACACTTTCATAAATTAAAGCAGTTTAGAATTAGTGACAAACTGCAATGAAGGTTCCCAACTTCAGCTTTTTTTCTATATACTCCTATAATAACACGGAGTCATTGCATTGTAAGTGAACGCAAACCTAACATAATGGACGTTCACTGAATCTGCATTAAAATAGCGTCTGGCTGACGCCAAATCCACACAGCCAATGTTGTCTTTTAATCTCATTCTTTTTAACATTTCCTGGGCTGCCTCATGTTATTCACTGCTGAGCCCAAAAAAGAAAAACAGTTTGCAGAAATCATTTTTATTTTGTCTCCCTTAATGATGGCTGTGCATCTGCTGGGACAGGAGCAACAATACTTTAACCTAAAAAATGCACAACCCACAACAAAAAGAAGATACATGAAAAAAATTTTAAGAATAGTTTAAACCCCAAGAATATTTTGCAAGAAAATGTATCAATAAAAATAATCCCCTGCTAACTGGAGCTCGCTAACAGATTACTAGTTATTTTTTAATATTTATTGTTCTTTGTACATTCAAATGGAAACTTATCCACGTGTTCAAATAGGCAACAACAACAATAATCAAAACTAGGATTCTTTTTTGATCTTTTACTTTAATTACCTTTCATCTATCCATAAATCTGTATTATTACAGTACATCTGTATTATGTTCATATTTTCCTTAATGTTGTTTGATCTTACAATATTTCTCTGTGGTTTTAAGCTGAATTATTGTTTTTCTTGTATTACTGACTAATTAAAAAAGGCTGTTTAACATAACAGCCTAATTTTGCTGAATCTGTTTAAATTGTCGTTGTGTTTTTCAGCAGATGCACCCACTGCGATGCAGCTACTTCAAGGTCTGAAGCAGCTTTTATGCATTCAAGGTTTTTTTTTATGCTAAATTTGAACTTCACCAATTAGTTTTCACCAACTCTAGAGGCCATCAGACGCTCCCATGCTATTGGCTGATTGGCAAAAACAGCAATGATCATAATGCAATTTTGCCAAAGTGTGGCTGTTGGTGATTCTCCCCACGTGAAGCTCAGGTCATGTGCCTGGAAATCTGATTAGGCTAATTCAAAAGCTTCACTCCGGCCTCCTTTAAAGCTTGAGCTTAAGAAGAGTAGGAAGGCAATGAGGGGTGAATCTAATTAGTGGCGCTTCAAATATGTTACTCTGAGACCTGCCAATATCTTTAAAAAGCCAGCTATCCTTGACCTAATGGCATTGAAAAGGTCAGCTTACCAGGAGACCATCTGTAGGTAGCTGTGAATAAGATGTGCCTTCTGCTCCTGTCACTTCAAAGTAAACAGCTTGTAGTTTTAGTTAATCCACCTTCAGAAAGGTTTTACAAATCCAAATTTCTACTGCCTAGTCTCACTTTTTAACCAAAGTCTAAGTGCCACAGGTCAATATCTGTGCTTTGTTTTTCTATCTTTCTGTTTAAAGTCGGCTCTTCCTCCAGGCAACTGAAACGGAGGCAAGTCTGGCACTGAAAAGAAGCAATTTGTTAAAAGGACTGTAGAGTGCTCTTGTCTAATGTTTCATTAAATTATCCCTATTCACCCGCTTCTAGTCTGTAGTAAAGCCTCTTGTGGCAGCCGTGGGATTTCAA